AACTAGAAATATGGAGAAAGATGGAGGGCAACAACTGGGATTTAGCAAAGTTAGGGACGCCCTAGGGTTTCTAATGGATGGCTAAGATGGTTTTGGGGTGATCCTTGGCAGAAAATAAAAGGAGAGGGCGCCCAATATTATGTAGGGCTGAGATTTGGGCACCCAGAAATGGAGGGTGTAGATTAGAACATCTAGGGTTGAAGGGTTATGATTAAAAGAATATGTGGTGCCATAGATTGAATGGTTGGGATATAAAATGGAGGGAGTGGCTGAGATTTGGAGGTGAGGGGCAAAATGGTGAGGATTACCAGAATCGGTGGCACCCTAGGGTTTAAAAGCTATAAAGGAGAGCTCTAAAATGAGTGGTTGAGATTAAAAGAGATGGAGGGTGGAGATTAAACACCTAGGGGCAGCTAGGGTTTGCTAAGTGTGAAAAGATTAGGTTAAAAAGGCTCCCTGGGGTTTGCTAAGGAGAGGGGAGCATGGTAATACAATAGGATGGGCGCCAACTGGGTTTAGTAGATAGGGGGCGCCCTCCTGTTCTCAATGTTTTACAAAAACACCCCCTCTCTCAGCTAGTCTTCACACCAACTTCCAAAAAACTGCACTTCAGCTTAGAAAACTTCCCAATTTTCTACATAATTTGCACAGAAACCCTCAAAGGTCACATAATTGATTTTAACTGGGAAAATGGTACACTTTGACTATTTTAAGGCCGAAAATACCCCTGAATTGATGCTCTTAAGGCATCAAAATGCAGGGTTATCACCCAACACTATTTTCTAATAATTTCAAGCAACAAAAAATCTAAAGAGATGGAAATGCACCTACCATTTCATGGTTCCAAAAACAATATTGCATTCAACCAGTGTAGAGTAGTGCAACATTCTTTTCCGAAGCTCCTCTTGACCAAAAACATCAAGATCTTCTCAGTAAAACAGTTCCTTGGAAATCCACTGGCCGTAGATAATTGAGATCCTACTCAGAGTAAACTAAGGAGGCTATCATAAACTAGATAAAAAGAGAAAGAAAAAAACCAACAACTACACACCAAAAAAATCAGCATCCCCATTTTTTACAACTATTAGTAAATGGTTGCAAAGAATTTTAACTTGTTCAACTTACAAAAAAATTCAGAAAAAAAAATTTATACCTTCAGGGTTTCATTGCTGAGTGTGGGTAATGGTGGTGTGATAGTGGGCTTGCCGTCGGTTGGCTCGGGTTTGGTCGTAGGCAAGTTGCCGCTGCAAGTGCTGCTCCAACTTGTAGAATCGCCAATGCCCAATGCCGAGTGTCGCTGGAAACTTGCCGGACAGTCGCTGCAAGTTCGCCGTCCGCCGCTGCAAGTGCTGGCTGCCGCAACTCTTACGCCTACAAGTACTGGCCGCCACAACTCTAAATACTGTAAACTCACCGTCGCCGGTCTGTGTCGCCGTCAGATGCCGGAATTGTTGGCCGCCACAGGTGGTCGGTACTTGGTAGGGTGTGAGGGTTGAGAGGGGGGAACTCAGGAATATGAAAATGGGTTCTAACCCTAAAGCTAAAGGGACTAAACATTCGAACTGGGTTGGGGATATAGAAGGTATTTTAATTTTTGTTTTTTTTTTTTATTTAAAACATTGAAAATGAAAAGACTAACCCGCGAATCGTTGCTCGAGTCAAACGGTTTAGCGGTCCGACCGCCTAGGTCAGTGGTTTTCTGACATTTTCAACGATTTTTAGAAATTTCTGGTTTTTAGTAAAACCGAACCCGGGGGGCTGACTGGTTACCAGTTTTTCTGGTCTGACCATCCAGTCCAATCTAGTCTTGAAAACCATGCTTGCACCTATTAGAACCCAGGTGTAGAAAAATCCATTTTCACCATTAACAGAAAAAAAATGAAATCACATAAAGTAAACAATTAACAAAGAAACTAAACCATCCATATGAAGCAATTATTCTTATCAAAATAGTGCTTTCGAACCATTATTGGCCCGGATGGTTGGACCATTCGGCTTGAGTATTTTCCAAGCAACCAATTCCATTTCACTTTTAATCCGTTTTTTGGCCAAAAACCATTGACTTGGTCAATAACCTGTTGATCCAGGCAATCGAACCGTTAATCCATTCGACCCAAACAGTGGTTATTGGCCTTTTATTTTAATTAGTTTTTTTTTTATATTTTAATTTGGAATAGACCATCCATTTGAACCGGATGGTCAAATTGTTGACCCGAAAACCAGTGGCCAAAGCTGTTCCAATTCTAGGTTGGTTTTTAAAACATTCTACCAGACAATCCATGCAAATTTAGATAATTGGAAGGAGTGGAGAACTAAATAGATAGATAACCACACGTAGGTTATAGGGAGAACAAGAGATGTAGTACTCAGGGGGCGGAGCCAGGGGGGCACAAGGGAGCCATGCCCCCCTGTAATAGGGGTCCACAAAATCCCTAGTATAATACAGTTTTCCATGTAAATTTCCCCTCCTCCCACTCCCCACCCCAATGTAGGTTTTGTCCCCACTCAAAAAATTCTTGGCTCCGCCAATGGTAGTACCATCGAATGGTTTATTGTTACTACTCGAAACTATATATATCCCAAACCTTGATTACATTTGATATTTTTCCAATAAAGCTCAATCTCACAAAAACCTTCTTTTCTTCTTCCAGCTTGAAAAATACGTACCTTAGAAATCTCTTCCACAAAAGTCCACATACATTGTCTCCAAATAAATAACAAAATTTCTTTGAATTATTTTAATTATTTAAATAATAAAAAATTTTACAAATTTAAAAATATAATTTAAATATTTCAAGAACTAAATATTTTAAATACAACTAAATAATTAAATATCAAAATATTTAATATTATTGTATTTATTTTATTTTTATTAGTTATTTATTGTATTTTCATTATAAATTTATTTTTAATAATTATGTATTTTCACTATAAATTATCAATAATTATTGGAGATTAAACTATTATTTATTGAAGATTAGACTACTAATTTAGCTGAAATTTTGGAGTGTTCACAGGTTGGTTCGATTTGGGTGCAAATTGTTTAGCCAACCAAACTGACTTAGTTGGGTTGGGGAGTTGGTCACTCGAAACCGACTGACCATTAGTGAAAATCGACCAACTTGGGTTGTATTAGTTTAGGTCGGTTTTTGGTTTGGTCGGCTGGTTCAAAAGATTTAAACTTAAAAAGTTAAATTTAAATTTTAAAAAGTTACAGTGGTATTATTAAAAAAATAAATTAAAATTAAAATTTATAATATAAAATATATTAAAGTAAGAAATATGAAAAATTTCCTACTTTCACATATTAAAATGTTATATTTAAAATATAAAATATTATATATATATATATATATATATATATATGGTCAGGTCGGATCAATTTTGGTCGGTTTACAAATGGCCACGCCAAAATTGACCCAACCTAGTCGAGTTGAAAAATTGCTGAACCAAAACTGACCGAAAATACTAGAAAACCAACCAACTTGGGTCAAGTTGGTCAATTTCATCAGTTCGATGAACAATCCTAGATGAAATTAATTATTATTTTATTTTTGTATTACAAAAAATATTAAAAATAGTATATACAATATAAATAATTATTAATTATTTAAAAAGTTAAAATATAAAACAATTGTCTACTTTTATATATTTCTATTATTCAACTTTCGCTTAATAAAATCCATGCATCACATGGTCCCCTCTAGAAGTGGTGGCAATTGGGCGGGTTGGGTTGAACTTCAACCCAACCCATCTAACCCGGTGGCAATTGGGCGGGGTTGGGTTGAACTTCAACCCAACCCATCTAACTTGCCAACCCATTAATGACCCAGTTATATAAAATTAAATGGGTTGGGTTCAACCCAAACCCACTTTAACCCAATCCAACCCGCCCAAACCCATTAATCTTATATTTATGGACTTAAAAAACAACCCGCTTCAAATCACATTACATGCAAGTTATTTTTACACAAGCGGCCAAGCCATTTGACTATGTTCAGATTTTGGGTTTGGCTGAACCACTTAGGTTCAAACTGGTCAGGTCAACTTGAACTATCTAATTGGATTATCTTCGAGCTAATCACATCAAGGGTGGTTGAACCATTTAGATTTGGATCAGTCTGGTCGGGTCGGACCGGACCGGTTCAATCAATGGTGGATTGACTTGGACCGAACCATATCAGGTTTGTGCACGAGTTTGGGACCAAACCGTCTGACCTGAAGCAGGTCACGTAAGTAAATCGGGTTGGTCCGAATTTGGGTTGAGTTGTGTGGGATATTGGTCAACCAGACGGTCCAGGCTGGGCAAAGCACACGAACATCGACCCGGATCAACTTGTATCGGGTCGGGTCGGGCTGTGTGAATACTAGTTGGACTGGACGACCCAAACTGGGTAGAACAAGCGGTACCAAACCATCTTGCCTGGGGGTCTATTTCAGATTCGGATCGACCCAGATCGGTGTATGCTAGATCAGGTCAAACCTCATTGAATTGGTCTGAATTCGAGTCAAATTGATTTGAATTTATGTTGGATGAAGTGTATTGATTCAAGACAAAATTAAATTTAATCAATAATTAATAAAAAATTAATGCATTAATTATAAATTATTTAATTCAAATGAAGAAAATTAAAAAGAGCTAAAGAATTAATACTTATGCCTATAATGATTAACCCAATGGTTATCCACAACTCAACCCTGGGCCAATTAGGTAATGAATTGATTATACAACCCGCCAAATTAGATACTAGATGGATTGGGTGGGTTAGTCGGGTGAAAAATTGCCACCCCTACCCGCTAGTAGCTAGTATATTCATAAAACAATGGGTTCTGAATAAACACTTACAAAACCTGACCCAATTATCACTCGAGACAAAATTACAAAATCAGAACCGATATAATTGGTTTAGTTTGGTCGGGTAGAACTTATCCATCCATTTTTTTTTTAGTTTTTTTCTTAAGAGTAAAGGAAATATCTACGGTGGAGAATGAGGTGGAAGGGGGTAATAGAGGCATTTGTGTAATAAAAGCGCATATCCAAACATAGAATCCATATTTACAACTTACAAGGTGTAAGCTTGTAAGTCTGTAAGATGGTTGGATAGAAATAATCTGTGGTAAGTAGGTAGAAAAGATCTGTAAATCTGTTCTTAATATGGCTAATATATAAATCAGCCCTTCCCTCCCAATGGTAAGTAGGTAGAAAAGATGGTTGGATAGAAATAAACCTGCTCGCTCACTCCCTAATCCCTACCAAACTACCAAAACTACTCTGAAATCTGAGCTCTGAAAAGATCAGAAAACGGCTGGATGGCAGTCCAACTTTCAGCCACTGACTCCGGCATAAACCCTTATGGGTTTCTCCGGATAGTCCTCCACCCGGACGGCACGCTCACTCGACTCGACGCCTACGCCACCGTCGATGATGGAACAACTGAGCAGAATTCTGCTGTCCTCACCAAAGACATCACCCTCGACCCAACCAAGAAAACTTGGCTACGGATATTCCGACCCCGCCAACTTCCTCCTTCCTTCTCCTCCTCCTCCGAGAAGCTCCCTCTCGTGGTCTACTTCCATGGAGGAGGCTTCATTGTCGGCGGAGCCAACTGGAAGATGTTCCATGACTTGTGTGTGAGCATGGCCGTCGAATTCCCTGCCTTGGTTGTATCCGTCGGGTATCGTCTTGCTCCTGAGCACCGCCTCCCCACCGCCTATGAAGACTCTGTTGAGGCCTTGCACTGGATCAAGAATCAGGCCTCATCGGACGGGATGAATTCCGAGGAGTGGTTGAGGGATTTGGCTGATTTCTCTCGGTGCTTTCTGGTGGGCACCAGTGCAGGAGGTAATATTGCTTTCCATGTAGGGTTAAGAGCGCTGGAGGTGGCGCGTGAACTTGAACCCATAAAAATCACTGGCCTTATCTTGCACGATCCTTTCTTCGGTGCATCAGAGAGAACCAAATCGGAGCTGAAACTGGCGAATGATCCGATCTTACCCTTGGCAGCCACTGATTTGATGTGGAACCTATCCTTGCCCAAGGGGTTTGATCGTGATCATGTTTACTGCAATCCAATGAAGTTGGATCCCGTAGCCAATCAGATTGGAATTCTGGGGAGGTGTTTGGTGACGGGTTGGAGTGGGGACTTGTTGATCGACGCTCAGCTGGAATTCATAAGGTTGTTGGAAAGAGAGGGTGCCTCTGTGGTGCCTTTCTTACAGGAAGAAGGTTACCATGCTCAGGAGATCTTTGAACCCGAGAAGGCTCCGCCATTGTTGAAGGCCATTAAAGACTTCATTTTTAATGCTACTCTTTAATGTGTGTGTAGTCTTAATTATTTTCAAGCTATTTGCTTAATTGTGTGCTTAGTTGGGTCTGGGTCTTGTCTTCTCCGATTGGGATCCTTTCAATAAATCTCATGGTTTATGGAAAGCATATACGACAATTTGACATAATGAACAATTGTGTTTTAATTTAAACATATATACCAGCCGCCTAAGTAGAACTTTTCTGTGGACCGATTAATTTGTGGTGTCTCGACTTGCTGAAATGCCACATAGCCCTCTTTTAAAAGTTAGCCAATTGTTTTTTATCTCTTCGAGATTATTCTGCACAGGAACGAGYTTTACCCTTATCCCATTCGGATCAGATGGACTCGATAAGCTTTATCAGTTCATACGAAGTCCATTTTTAGGTACAAAATGGATTTTGGGTAATGTGGGCCGTAAATCTCAAATGTGTTTCGTAAGGTCTATGATAGTTCATTTATATAAGGGTATCACTTCTAGCCTCATAAGGTACGTGCGGTTTAGTTGTCATTTGCTATTACTCTCAAAGCAAATCAAACTTGCTACAAACTCTTTGTTAATTTAAGCATCGGAATGTTCACACCGGGTAAAGCACCCCGAGACCTTTGATCTATTTGCCTTGAAGTTTGACCCGGCCATGTAGTAGACCAACGTTCATTAAGTTGCCTTTTAGCTAGGAACAACTAAATCGTGCATCATCACTGTTCAATGTTAAAAAAAAGGAGTTTTGTCCAATTAACAACCTTTTTTATTCAACTGACAAGAAATAAAAGGGAAAATAATTGTTCAGTCCACCTTAGTCCCATCAAATCATGACCATGGATGGATGTCAAATTTATGGGCAGAATGCCATTTATAGGGAACTGTAATTTCAGAATTCTGTACTACAATATAATAGAAAGGAGAATGACTGATCAGCCCGACTCAAAATTTTTTAACCCTATCACATAGGGGATGGATCCTGACTGTGGATTGTTGTCAAATCCAACAGCAGGATGGGATGTATAGGGGCTACTAATAGACTATGGGAGGCTGCTGTAATTCAGAATTCTACATTGGGTGCAGTATACTTAACCCGAAAAAAAAAAAGGTTTGGCGGTCAAGATAATTTATAAGTTAGGTAAGACGTCTGCAAACCTATTCTGTAAGAGATAAGTTAGGTAAGACATCGACCTAACTAATTAAGAGATAAGTTAACTAACTATAACAGTGTATCAATTAAAGAGTACTCAAAAAAAAAAAAAAGGAATTTCAGTGCCATTTCTGAGACTTCCTATTCTGTAATGACAAAATAGTAGTGTTGGAATCTGATTGGACAATCATCTTGTTAAAACCTTTGTTGCACCATCAGTATTAAGTTTTTGTTTTTCTCAACCATCAGTATTAAGTTTAATCCAGTCTATAGGAGGAGGTTTCCACTGGACACTTGTCTATATCCTGTCACTAGTTCCATATGGTTAATACATAGGGAAATAATCAGAACAGTTTGAAACGATCTTTCTCCAAATATACGAGGAATGAAAATAGATTTACTTTGAAGAATAAATTCATTCCTGGTCTGGATCTACTCCTCACAAACTGCACCTCACACTGGCCTTACAGTATATTCTGACTGTAGGTCGGGAATATTTCGGGTAAAATACAAAACTTTTTCTGAGTTTTCTTATAATCATAAAATCCTCCCTTATATTTTCACTTTAACAAAAACCTTTCCAATACTTTTTACCAAATATGCAACCACCTCCCTTCAAAAACCGACCTAATCTATTTATTTTTTTAAAATACTAATTTTGCCCTCCCTCCAAAACACTGTTCATTTTCTTCCTAAGAAAAAAGAACTAAGAACCAGAGGCCATCGGCCTTCCATCGCATACCTATGGCTTCTCCTAAACAGTGTCAATTCCAAAGAGCTTGAGACATGCATGGTCTATCAATTTATCACCCCCATTCCCTCTCTCCCTCTTCAAACATARTCTACAGGAAAAACGAAAGCTTGCAAGCTGGTCTGCAACTTGTTACAGTACTCCAATGGCCAATAGTTTTGCTATATTTTTCAAGGGTCAACAATGAATACTTTCTAAGTGTAATTTCTAGCCGCTTCATGATTCAGTAATGGGTTTGGCATGAAGCTTAATTTGATTGCTGGGCTTAATTCGGACAATTCAGTTTTAAAAAGAAAGAAAAAGAAATTCCTAATACAAAGTTGAAAGTGAAAGTTTTACCATTGTAACAAGTTTAAGGGGATTCATCTCATGGAATTAAACAAAATAGGTGGGTGCCACAAGTGCTCTCGGGAATCAAACACCTCTCATCACTACTCCAGCTTACATAAGGTGTGTCATCGTCTTCCACCAATTCATGTTTTGTCTCCAAAATCACCCCCTTTCATGGAAATTCAACTTTTACATGCTTGACATGTGTAAGCTAAATACCTTAAGACACTCAAGACAAACTTATTAGCTATCGTCTTCCACCAATTGTTCATCTCTACAAGTCTAATCTTATCCGATCGATATTCAACGTTGGAATTATTGGAGCAAGACCAAGAGGTCGAAATGCAAGTTGCGTTAATTAAATGCCTTGAGACACACTCAGGCTGACCTCATTGTAGTGACTGGTGAGGCCGAGATACCCCCATGTCTCTCATTTTCCTTGTGTGGTGGTGGGTGTTTGTGAAACTGCAGGTGAAGAAGGATTTGACAAAGACTCAATTGAGTGGAGATGGCACATGAGATTAGCAAGGCAAAAGCCAAGATGTAGCCAAGGCCAGACAAAAGGCCAAGGCGGAGAGAGAAAGAGAGAGAGAGAGTTGACGACTATGGTTCTAAGTTATTGAGAAGTGTTTTGGAGGAAAGTTTAATAAATCTATATCTAAATAGATAGGCATAAGGGAAAAATAGGCATTTTAAAAAACAAACACATTATTTCGGCTTTTCTGTCTAGGAAGGGAGGTAGTTGCATATTTTCTAAAAAGTATAGGAGAGGTTTTTGCTAAAATAAAAACATAGGGGAGGTTTTTATGATTGTCAAAAAAACTCAGGGGAGATTTTTGTATTTTACTCTTATTAATTGAGAGATGTTTCCAATAGAGGGTGGAATGTGACTGTAACTAGGTCGCTCTAAGGCACGCTCTGTAGGCCTGTAAACGGTATTCGAAAATCCAAATTCGAATCTGAGATTTGGTTTAATCGAATCGAATTCGGATAAGTCGAACGAATATTCGGTCGAATTCGGATATACATTGATCCGATCCAATAAATATCTGAACCAATTATATATATTATAATATATATATATATATAATATAATATAATATAATATAATAAAGTTAAAAAAAAGAAAATGAAAAATAACATTAGTTCGAAAATCTCAAGCAATCCTCAAGCCCCAACCGTCCACCATCACCGGCTTTGTGCTACAACCCACGACTGCCACTGGGAACCCATTGCATTCACACTGCCGGGAACCCACACCATCACACAGTCACATTTGCCCGCCGTTGGGAACCCACGCTTGCTGCTGTCCCCTGCCTCTTTTTTCAAGGTGATTATAGTTACAGATTGGTTCTTATGCTAAATTTTTCAGATTTTTAGTTCTTTTTCTAATGACATAGTGATTTAGACTTTTTAACTCTTTTCCTATGCTAAAATTTTTAGATCACAAATTTCTGATAGTGTTGAACATTGTTCCAGAGTTCATATCATGAAGAAAAGTAATGTGCGCCAGCAGGTACACTTCTGCACCCTTTGAAGTTCTACTGCATCCATCGCTCTCCCTCCTTTTTGCAAGTTACATATACTCACAAGTTTTTATGCTTCTGTGTTCTTTTTTATGTTTCTGTGTTCTTTTATCGCTCTCCCTCCTCTCTTTCTCTATCTATCTCTCTATCTCTTCTTCTTCTTCTTCTTTAGGGGGACTGTTAATGGCTGTTGGTGTCAATGGTTGAAGGCTTATGAAGTCAAGATCAACAACTTTAATTTCCTCATAATTCCATCTGAAAATGAAAATCTTAGTGTCTCACTTTTGATTGGAAAAAAAACTTTATCCTTTGATTTGGAGTTCGGATATTGCTGGAAACCTCTCTTCTATGTATTCTGATTTTCCTTGTTATGTAAGCATACTATCCCTCTTTATTCTATCCTTGTTCACCACCTCGGAACTTAATGCCATATGTGGTTACTAAGCTCAAGTGTATCATCTTTTTAAAGTTTTCATATTCATCTTATTCTTATTGGTAATGGTAACTATCAGAAGTTCACCAGATTAATACTCGATCCATATGATGGCTTCTTTGAAATTGTTTCTGTTGGTTAAAAGGACGCATCATGTTGGTACTTCTTTATCAATTTAGAAAGAGCTGAAAGTAAACACAGAATGCCTCATAAGGGGATAAATAACAGTTGAAGGCTACAAATGTAGTGCATCAGGCCCGGTAGATGAAGCAATACGGGGTGTAAGTGGAGTATTGATTGTAAACCTAAAATTAATCTAATCAAGTTCGGATTAATCTAATCCCTAACTTAAGTTGTGTTTCCAAATTTTAACTCTGGTGAAAAAGTAAGTTTCCAAATTTTACATGGGAAGGGATTAACTTAATTTGTCTTTTGTAGCATAAATAAATTCGTAGATACTTTTGACAGTAGGTTGTCCATCCATACTCGAATTAGAGGTGTAAATCGGCTTGTACCGCCCAAGGCATGGCCCAACACAATGACACACGAACTGTGTCAGGTCTGGTATGATGGTCCGTATTGTGCTAAGCCTAGGCTTTTAGGTTCGTAGTCCGGGCCGATAAGATACAACCAAGCGGGCCATGCCGCACGCAGCCCGCATGTTGGCATGGCCTAACCTATGACTTGGCCCAGTACGACTTGCGACACGATCAATACAGCCCATATATACTATTTATATATTTTTTATATATTTTATATATTTATATATAATATATTATATATTATATAAATTATAATTATATAATAATATATAGTATATAATATATTAATAAAATAAATAAATTTTTTCAATTTTATTATACTAATTTATTTAATTATTGTATATATAAGCAATTGTATACATCAAAATTCATAGAAAATTAAAATTTTAAGTCTTTTTCAATTTTTTTTTTTAAATAAAGAGGCAAAAATTACTTTGGCCCGGTCCATGGCCTGGCT